CTCCTCCTCTTCACCTTTTTCTCCTTCTCTCCTGCCTCCTCTTCCTCTTCTTCCGTCGTTCCTCGATTTTTCTCTACTTTCTTTTTACTATTCCTCGCCCCGATCCTTCCGCCTTGGGGCTGACGCCAACAGCTGGGGCTTCTCGGTGACTCGGGCTTGTCGGCGGCTCGTCCTCGTCTCGGGATGGCGATTTCTTATCAGGAGACGCGGCACGTTCTCTGGATCGTTATTCCTATCGTTATTCCTTTTTATGTATCTATCGCTGCTCGTACCGGGTCCGCCGTTTTCGCTACTGTTGCTACACTTTCCGTTACGTTTCTTCGTCACAGTCTTCGATACGATGTTGCTTCCGTTTATAATCACGAGAACTGAGGCCGGTGCTCTCGCGGGCGGAATTCTAGTGCTCCCGCCTGGGAGCTGCATCCTTCGAGCTCGCCAAAGGGCTAGGTGCCCCTCGCTCCCTCGTCTCGATTTTCCTTCCCGCGATTCTTCTTATCTCGTCTGAAACAGAAACCAGTTGCATCTGTTAATAAATAACCCGTGCCGATTTCCTTAAAAAGGAAAAAAAAAAAAAGAAAAAAATGAAAGGAACTACCGCCTCGTTCAGTGATACGCGATCGATACGATGTATCACACTCGAAGGAGTTATACCCGTGAATCGTATTTTATTTTAAACGCGCTCCGTATATAGAACCTCCGACGATTTCCGTAGATAGAAGTGTCTGTCTACTATGTACGACTATCGTTGACTTCGTGTGATATAGGGTAATTTAATTGTTACAGCAAAACGAGTTTATCGTCTAGTTTTAATGCGCTCAGTGAAATTTTAATTTTCCTTCGAATTAAAATCTTCGTCTTTATTATATTCCGTCCATCGAAGATCGAGTTCATCGATAACGTCAGAATCCATTCCTCGTTTCGATTTGGAAGCTAGAAACATCTCAATCTGAGGAAGAACGTAGGAAAAATTTCTTTCGAATAAAACGTACGTAACCGATAAAATTGTATCGGTTCATTGCACGATCAAGTCACCGGTAACTATAGGAGAGAATAGCAAGTTAAATTGCCAGTTAAAAATACTGCTGGTAATCGATCATGACGACAAGACGAAGAATAGCCCTGTAACGTGTGTGTATATATATATATATGTACGTTTTCAACTTGGGCCCAAGTCTTGCCGAGAGTTCTGGAGAGAAATGCTAGACAACGAAGACGAGGAAAGACTATAAGAAAATTACTTGCATTGAATTTCTTATTCAGAACGTGGCTTGTTCCGGCGAATCGACTCTTCGTCGATTACACATATTGATCGATAGAGCAGAAGGAACGCGTTCCTCTTGAAAATTCTCAACTCTCGACGAAACTTATCCAATTTCGGATTTAAAAAAAAAATCCTTTCCTTCGATCAAAATGATTCTCTTGTAAAAACGACGACTTCATCCTCCTAAACGCTTGCTCGAGTCAAACGAAGGAAAAGGTTCACAGATCGTATTTCCACGACGATAGGTTTTTTCGTGGATCGATAATCGCTCGATGGACGATAATCGACGCCCGTTTAACGAATTCATTCACCGAGGACAGGGCTCGCGGCGGGGGCCCCGATCGTTTCACCATTCAATTGCCGATACGCATAAGTGCGTGGGTGGAACACGTGAGCCGTTTGCACGCACGCGGACGGCCGATACGGTGTACTACGCACTCTGCTTGGTGTGCACCAATATCAACGCGGTACACATATCAACCGGTGAATGTGCATGAGATTCGAAGCAACAGCTGAGCAGCTTAAAGCACCTGCGCTCAATAGGCTGACATATTCCATAGTTTGCCTACGCACGAGCCGCCTGCGTTCGAGGACACGAGGCACTCGCCCCTATATATCGGCGAGGAGAGCGACTAGACGTATATATACGCATGAAGCAACAAGAAGGCTCAAAGAGAGGAAGCTAGCGTATATAGCAACACGTGGCAAAAGCGTCGAATTGGTGGAAGCACGGGGATCGTTGTACTTTTTTTCCCTCGGAACGCGCCAGCTCCGACTCTCTCTCCCTCCCTCTCCCTCCCTCTCTCCTCGTGTTCGCGCGATCGCGTAAGGAAGAGGGGGTGAGGGAAGCCAACAGCTTAGGATTCATCGATTATTCGCCTGCCTCGACGATGCATCTAATTGAATAACGATTATCCACTGTTTCTGTTTACCTCGTCGAATCAATGAGAAGGACTTAGGGGGGTCGAGGAGCGGATGAAAATTGAATTAGAACCTGACACTTCTGTATTCCATCGAATGTAATCACCATTTTCTAATTACGACTTTTTTAAGACTTTGTACTTTCGCCATCTTTAATTCTCTCTTCTTTTCAGCAAAATTGAACGTATATTCTTATTTTGCTAGAATTTTCTTCGCCACGTTTTTTGCGATTTGTTTGCAAAAGAGTTGGAAAATATATATATATTCAGGTTTATATTCTTCGTATATGAAATATTCTATTCCGTAACGTATAAGAATATTTCAGAAGTAAACGTATTTTTGAATATTATGATCGCGAAGAATAGAAAGGAAGAAAGATATTGCTCCCCAGCAATTATCTTAGGTGGCATGCAGGGGTGCGATCGTTGGTCGAAAGGGTGACATATGGTCTCAAGCTCGATAACGTCTACTCGATCGTACCTGCCTCGAAGAGAACGGAACGCTTCGAGGGGGGTCGGCAAAGTCTGTCCTTCCTATGCGTTTGATCGCCACTTCCCTCCTGCGCCGTCATGCGTGGGACGGTCAGGAATAAAAAGGTGGCCCGGCCGGAAATGGTTTTAGGAACTCTCCCACCGCCTCGACTCGGAAGTAGACACGCCGGGCTAATTACACGCGAGAAACGTGTATACCTAACGATGTGTTCGAGAGACTTTCGTGACCCCATTGTCGATGTTACGTACATCGTGAGCAGATGCGCTTCGTTCGATCCTCTGGCTAAATTACTTTTTTTTTTTTTTTTTTTT